TTCAAAAGAGTTGATTGTTCTGCCCTTTTTTTTACAGCGCGGGGTGGCGCAAATAGCTTTTGTCGGTTATAGCAGTTTCTTTGGATGAAAAAATAGATTGTGGTAATTTTTTTTGGGAGGATATGAAATTGTTCAAATACCACGTTGGTAGATATTTGCGCTGAGTAGCCGGAACGTTTAATGTGCAACAGAGAAGAATTCGTAGTTTGTTTTGAAATGTGGTCGGCGAAGTAAAAGTAGTAACAACTCCATTTACACAAACCTTGATAAATCTTCTTGTAACGGCAACTTTTTTAGATCGTCTTTGCTGAGCTTTTCAGTAAAATCATGAATCGACGTCTATCTATCAATGTATATATCTACAAGTGGCGCTCATCTGTTGGACTCATTGACCCTTGTCTGGAAGAATTAGAAGACTTTTAGATAAAAAATCCAACATATATCTCACTCTAATTCGCTTCGAATTAAAGCCACTTTTATGCACATTCGTTTCGTTTAATCCTTTTCTAGTTTATTCATGTCAAACTACTTTCAATTCATTTATTCAAAGATGTAAGCAAAAGGAACACTGTTTCTAAACATTTATTGATCGACTCTCTTCCCACTATTTACACTGAAAAATCAATTTACTTATACTTATTTTATGTCTTCTAAACCACTCAAACAAAAGCCTAGTCGTTCGTCGGCGTGCCTCTGCTTGGCCACTCGCGGCTAGCCGGTTCCATGTATTTTCCTATTTTCACTTTATTCAAATGAAGATGTTATCTGAAAAGAAGTCCACTCTGGAAAATCCATCCATATTCGAAAACGTAGGAACTTTACATAGATATACCGCTTTCTGCAAAAAGTTCCGTTCATCTCTTCATCACCAGCCAACTTAAAAGGTTGCCGAATCTGTTCGAGCGAATCGATGATTAAGTTCTGTCTAAGAAATTTTAAAACAATATGACAATCGCTGAAACTTATTGTTTAAGATATTACTCTTCAAATCGACATCTAGCTGGTCGGTCACTCACGGCTAGCCGTTACATGTCCGACTTTCATTCTTTCATCTAGCCTAAAATCCCCATCAAACTGAATCAAACCATTTCGTTCTATTTCCTGTTGAAAAATCACAATCTTTGTGCCACTGTGACTGTCCAAAACAACATTTGTCGGAGGAAGTATTATTTTGAGTGGTTCCCATGAGATGATGTTTATGTAATATAACTGTTTATATAATTGCGATTTGATCAATATACTGATGAGTGTGAATATCCAACAATCGGACGTTAATCAGCTATTCCGTTTTGTTCTACATATTGCTGCTTCAAATACTATCGTCTAAAAAAAACTCCTTGCAAAAAGTCGTCCCTTGTCTGAAAAAATAACATCAGATTCGATATCTTCGATCGCGATTACTTTCGGTCCACCCTTATTCAGCAATCAAAAATTTTTTCATTGTCCAATTAAGTAATTAACCAATTTGAATCTTAAAAACTAATACCGGATTCGAGTTCCCCGACCTCCATAACTTATCTACTAGTCGGTCTCTAGTTGATAAGAGTAAATTTCGATGACTTAAGAAGTCCTAATTTCTCATTGACTTGGACAAAGAAACAAACTTTTAACGATTTTTAACGCGGCTATAACACTTTCTTTCACAAAAGGGAATATATTCACTGGACTGAAGGGTGAACCATATGAAGAACTATAGTTGGTGTATGTCGGGGTCGAGGTCAGCGATCCAAGGCGAAGAAACATTCTCTGAAAATGTTTGGAATTCAAAGGGGCGTCATCTGGAATAGGTTTAAAGGTGTCGGTTTTAGGTTGAAATCTGCCAGATCAATACTTTAACTAACCTGATAGGACGTTGAGAATATGTGCGAGGACTAGTTCGATGTTCTGTCGTCCGAAAAGAGAGTCACATCAGAAAAAATAGTTTGAATGGCGTGAGTGTGTGCATATGCGTGCAGTAATATTTTATTTTCTTCAGATAATGGGAGTTCAAGGTTTTCTGAGCTCAAATGTATTGACGTTGATTTTACAAGATACGATGCGTCCAGTGTATTGATTTTTCTTGTCAAATCGGAAGTTATGCGACAATTATGATGTTCCCTCGACTGGAAGGAGAATCAGATGACAAAAAACTGTTTGTGTCTGTATGTTTATGTCTGGGTCAAAGATCGAAAAAACATTTTTCGAAAATGCCTAAAACTCAAAGATATATAGTTTGGAAGGGGCGAAGAGGAAGTGGTGAAAAGGAATTTTTTTGGAAAGGTGCAAAATTCAAAGATACACCTTGTGGAAGAGGTCTTATAATACTCAACGTTCGTAGTCGTTAGCAGGTGGTTGAAAGGAAGTGAGGTCCGAACAGCAATGACCTCATAGAATCAAAGATCAAAATAAGATTTTATCCTCGGCTGAAAGAACGGCTATGAGGAAAAACATATTGCCAAAAGATCAAAATGCGCTTGTTTGTCTGTCTGAGGTCACAAACCAGAGACTAGCCATCTGAATGTACAATGATTCGAAAGTCTATGCTAGAGGAGATATCCTTAGATCCTGAAGTACTAAATACTACGGCTATCATTGGGCTCTCAATTGCTCATTTGCTGTTACTTGTGAGTGGTGTCTCGTATGGCCGCCGATGAACGAGTAGTTGCTTCCGGTAATCGCTTCTGTTACACAAATAAAAACATGCTAGCAGGTTGAGACTCGAAATTTATATGGGATCTCATCTTATGCCACTACATTATTACCCGTTCTGTTAGAAAAAGAAGTTACATGTGAAGCTGTTCCGTTCATAATAGTCATTCATATCAATCTGCCGCTTCATACGAACAGTGGTTTCCACTGCAGATCATCGAATAAATAAGGAGAACAATGACAGTCATTATGCTTGCTCTTAAAACTGTCAGGTGAGCGCGAATCGCTCTCAAAAGGTCATTCTTAAGAATATGTATCGGTTTTGTGAAACACGATCCAAAGGAGAGTGTTGAAGTGTTTAAGGGTAAAAATTTTGATCACTCCTCCCACAGACCGTCACCGATATATCTCGTCATTCTACCAACATTTACTTTGCTGATAAATACACTCTAGTCGAAACTTGCTCGATCCCTATTATTTTTCGTCTTTGAATATAGGTGAGGATGTTAGTAAGGGTGTAAAAGAAGGTGTAAGTAAAGGTGCCAATAACTGCGACAGAATTCAATCTAAAGCGCAACATCAATAGGATATTCTCGGAAGTTTTTTGCCAGAAAATGCATATAAATTTTATTGTACTTTGAATGACTGATTCAGTTGAGGGTCACGCTAGTCGGCCTCGAGGAACGTTACTTGTAATTTAGTATTCACAAAGACAGATAAATGAGCGCCAGGCAATAGCAGCGAATACCGCGGGTAAAAGAGAAGCTCGGCAATCGTGTCAGGGCTTAATAACTCCTTGATTGGAAAGCAACTGCACCTCTGAAATCTGTGTAAGAGGAAAATATCTTACTGAACCTTTTTTGTACTAGTCTGAGACCTATGATATACTCGAATAAAAGAATCTTAAGTGGAATTATAGATGGTTTTCAACTTCTCTCTTGGAACGTAATAAAGGTTCTGAAAATGATCTCCAAATCAAAAGTCATATAAGGGCCCAGCTCTCCGCTAAAATCGTATATGGCTTACTGTGAGCGTCTTTTTAGGACTTGAACTAATCCTATGAACCCCTTCTCTGATTTCCGAAAAAACTCATAATAAGTTTTATTTGGGAAGAATTTTGCTTTCGATCATATCTTACACGTACCAGTATACTTCGTCACATTGAAATCGGAACGTTGCGGCGCATATTTTAGTGATTGTTACAGGCATGTGCACGTACATACAGATACCTTCATATCTTTCTCTATAGCTGTTTATGTTATCATCGTGATGAACTCTTTGGCTCGGTTTTTGAATGAACAGATTGAGTTTTATCTCTCCAGCGAAAATAACTCTAATACTGATGATCACGTCCTCGTGGTCAGTGACTGCATGAGTGCAAATGCGAGTGGGAATGCTGTGCGTTTCATAAGTGTATTCAGATTCCATGACCAGAAATAATTTGATAGGCTTTTGTCAGGTTATCGGATCCGTTGTCGGACTGATGCATCTAGGCCATATGATACATATAAGAAGCATAGAAATTTACGCCTCTACTTTGCTTGCAACAAGCATAATGTAGAAACACTTAGTCGTTCGTCGGCTTTCCTCTGCTCAGACACTTGCGGCTACTTGCTCTGGCATTCCTCACAATATATTGTTGAGTATCACTCTTGTTCTGACACTAATAAGCATATTTCTCTAAAAGAAACTTCCACACTTTTGTTTATAGAACGTCAATTGAGAGCTACGAAAAGAAAACTGTTATAAGTTGCTGTCATTGTATTATATTTTTAGTTTTAAGAGTCGTTACCTATTATAACTATCAACAACCTAGGAATATAAATGACAGCATATTTTCTACCTTGCGAAGAAATGTAAGTCATAGAGATCAAAACTGTACCTACCATGTCATGCCCAGTAACGTCATGTCCGCTGGACAATAGTCGGCAGCTGAAGTTGACCCAGTAAAAAATAACATTCATGCACTTTATAGCACTACATCCATACGCACACATGCATATCTCTGTTACCAGACGTTTCCAGTAAAACCATTGTATAAATATCTTGTAACTGATAAGTGAAAATAGTTAGAAATCTAGACCTTTATACATTTAGTAGCGAAAAGTACCTGAATCTCAATTTTTACTGGTTCGACCTCAGCAGATAACTGTCTTAGAGTCGACATTAGGGAACTCGATGTAACAAACTCACGCAATATCATTTTTCAACTTTGGCTATCATGGCGAAACCTTCATTGTAAGAATTATCGCTGGTGTGCTCAACCACAAGGCATATAGACAATTCGCCGCATATGTATAATATAATTAATTTAGATTGAAAAAAGACCTGTTATTGGTTGACGTAGCTGTATATGTAATTTAATTAATACGAAAACCACACTGTCGTTAATAATTCTTTTGGTAATGTATAGTGAAACCTAGTATTCTGATGGTATTTCCAACAGCAAAATCTCAACAGATTTGAAAATATATACAGTAAAACCTCCCTTAATGAACACCTCCCAACTCTGAACAGTGAACGCTTTTTTTCGGTCCCAAAGTGGAGAAAACCTCTCTATAATGAACGAATGTACAAAAAAGTATATGCACTTGAATGAAAGAAACCGGAGATAAAATAGTCTATTGTAGTTTTTTTTGAATCAATGCTAACAAAACTCACTGACAGTCTAATTATTACAACAAAATTCATCAAATATTTCGAATAGACGAACAATACTAATTGACAGTTTACATCCAATTGATATCTTACACATAAAAAACAAGGAAAATGCAATCAACAAAGAACTGATTGACCTTGCATATAATGATGTATTCAACAGCCAGAATGACACTCACTTTTTATTTAAATAGATATACCACTTATTTCACTATTCAACGATTCACAGAGAGAAAAGTGAACGAAGATTAATGATTATTTTCGTAGAAATTAGATTAAAATCTTCAGTAATGGGTTCATGCAAAACTAACGATCGGTTTTGGTGCTTCTAGAATCGATAAAAACGGTCGTTAATTTTACATTAACTCAATTTATGGAAGCGGCACTTTATTATTCTATGCATCGTGCAATTAGAGAGAACTCTAATAAAAAAGATGCGTATTTATCCGTCTGTGACACTCCTTATACCTACACTATATATATATGTGTGTGAGCTTTCACGTAAGGTGACACCTCTCTATAATGAACACCTCCCATAATGAACGCTTTTTGGTCGGTCCCATTGGTGTTCACTTTAGAGAGGTTTTACTGTATATATATATATATGTTTAGTAGATTTTCTATGTAGAATTGAATTTTCTCTTTATTAGCTATTCCGTCTATGACATATCTCTTTGATTCATTTTTTCTTAGTTAACCTATCCGAGTGGTGTCACTTATTCTGCGGTTCAGAGATGCTTTGAAGATGTGGGCGATTCTTATTCACAGGGACATAATCTATATCTCTCATATCCATTTGCAGCCTCCAAATGACAAAAGAAATTTTCATAGGTTCACGAAAAATTAATTTTATCCTGCTGTATTTTTTCGGGAAAACGACGTTTCGTCTCATCTCGTCGTTCCGAACTCCCAACTAAAAATTATTCAAAATTTTCGTCACGGATGTCATAATGACAAAATTGAACTAAATAAACAGGATGTCCTTAACAAGATATGTTCGGAAGACCGTGAGTAACATTTACCATCACTGCTTAAAGTTCAAACAGAAATTGTGATTAGAGATTAGAATAAGGGAATCCATCTTGAGGGTGTGGGCTTACTGAGGGATGATGCGATAAATCAAGCAAAGATCTCCAGATGAATCTCGACGGCTTTTATGAAAGAGGCGTTCAATCATAGAAATTTTATTCTAGCATAAATCTTGATAAAAAATTGAAAAAAACGTCATCATGTTCGTAACGATATGTCCCCATAGAGTCATTCACGAACTTCCTGGCAGAAAGTTCCTGTCATTGCAAATTCATATCTTTAAATAATATACAATTCTGCTGGTTAGGATCTTAAGGACCATATTAGCAAGAGCAAGAGAATTTCTATTGTGATCACAAAACTAATCTGCTGGACTTTCTTACTTTGTCTGTTACGATGATCGGTATAATAGTAATCCCGAACATTCGGTCATGCTGCCGGATGTTCGTAAAGAGTGAGACGAAACGTCATGCACCCATCTATTTTAAGTATAAAAATAAAAACTACTGTCCTTTTCTCTATTATTTTCAGATGACAATATATCTTTAATTATCGACCTGAGATATGTGTTTATCATATAACTTTAAGAATTAGACTGTAGATTCGATCTAATATGTATGTCATTAGTGTTAGAAAAGAAATAACTTTTTCTGCTTATCTCTTCCTTTCTCGTTCTTGTTTTTACATAAGCATATGTTATATTGTTAATTAGATGAAAAGTGGTTACCTGTTCATCCACCTTAGTTGCTCTCATTCACAGACACACTCTCGAAATATTGAAATTAAAAGTAAAAGAAAAAATATTTTCATCTATAAGAGTTTTATTATGATCCATCAATTTGTTGTTTCCAACATCTACGATAGTAAAATTTACTTTCAGCTTCATCGATTTCATTGATATCATCATCAGCTAACTGGAAATTTTCATCATTAACTTTAAGAAAATCTTCTAAATGATCACATTTATTCGATGTTGTTATCGTAATATCACCTATAATAACAATAATTACAAGAAGATGAGAGAATAAATTAAACTAACCTTTACTTAAATTCCATTTGAGTAGAATTTGTGCAGGTGATCGATCATATTTTTAGCTAAATTATTTACTATTAGATCTATACTGATCCATTAGGTTTATGAGCCAATGGAGCAAGTGGTGTATAAGTTTGAATAATAATATTATTTACTTTACAATAAGCGAGTAAATCTTTTGATTGTTTATAAATATAAGGATGAAGTTCCACTAAATTAAATATTGATTACATATAGAAAAATCTATTGAATTTACTTTGATTAACAATTGATCAAATTTTTGGTTTTAAATCAAGTAATGTTTTTAAATGTTCAATTTGAAAATTACTCACTCCAATTGCTTTAACTTTCCCTTGATCAACTAAATTTTCCATATCTTTCCAAACTTCTTCCAATGAAATTTTATTTTGATCAAAAAATGGTGAATGTATTAACCACAGATCAAGATAATCAATACCTAAATGATTCAATGTATCATTACATGCTTTGGAAATATTTTCAATATTATTATAAACTTTTTGAAGTTATAAATAATTCATCACGTGAAATTCCTTGAAGACGAATAGCTTCTCCAACAGATTCTTCATTAGAATATACTTCAGCACAATCTAAATGTCGATATCCTAAAGTTAATGCTTGATGTGGGATAGTGAAACAATCCACATATGTTATGCGTCATGATGGTCTTTTCCTATCCTGTCATTTGGTATTGTCCACTCGCGTACATATATATATAGCTGTCGTTATATGCATATATATATGTATATTTCTCCCGTATGCTCTCTCTCTTTTCCCTTCTTCTGTTGATATTCATTTCTTCTTGAAATAAAGATACTTCCTCAAGATCTTTTATTTCTTATCAAGANAGAGAGAAAAGTGAACGAAGATTAATGATTATTTTCGTAGAAATTAGATTAAAATCTTCAGTAATGGGTTCATGCAAAACTAACGATCGGTTTTGGTGCTTCTAGAATCGATAAAAACGGTCGTTAATTTTACATCAACTCAATTTATGGAAGCGACACTTTATTATTCTATGCATCGCGTAATTAGGGAGAACTCTAATAAAAAAGATGCGTACTTATCCGTCTGTGACACTCCTTATACCTACACTATATATATATGTGCGTGTGAGCTTTCACGTAAGGTGACACCTCTCTATAATGAACACCTCCGACAATGACCGCTTTTTGGCCGGTCCCATTGGTGTTCACTTTAGAGAGGTTTTACTGTAATATAATATATTACCATCGTACCAAAAAGTAAAACAGAGTCTAAATTCTCAAAAGAACGCGTTCAATAGTCTTCAAAAGTAAAACATTACTCTGTGAAGCATTAAACAAAGTTCGTTTTCCTTTAACCTATTATGTGATTTTCAGTATCATAGATCATAGAAGTTCAACTAATCTTGGACTCTGAGTAGATAATTCACGAACACGTTCATGGGTTGTGTAATAGCCTATTTACTAAATATTCATTTCTTTGTTTTAAAATGTGTTGTTTTTTGTTAATCGAATTTGAGAAACTATTCTTATGAAATCGAGATAGCTCTCAATCATCATCTTTCCGATAGACCACCTTTTCAGTAAATATTACTACTTTGTTTGTATATATATCGGCTTAAACGCGTAACGTGTCACCTCGGAGGGCGTGATATTGAAGTCATCAGATCGAAAGCTGGTGGTTGCCATTTTATAGAGCATAGTCGATAGTATGAAGAAATGTATTTCGTTTTCTTTATCGCTGTAGTAAATCTCATCCAATGCTTAAGAGTACTGAGACCACTAATGTCTACTAAAAAATTCACTTTTTAGCTTGTTAATGAATTCAGTCGATTTATTCAAACAGTTAGATGTATAGTGTGTTGATGAAGATAATTTGAGAGTATCTTAGTAGATACATATTTTGACACAACATTAACTTTTTTTATTTCTTACCGCTCTATCAGGAGAGCATGCCCAAAACTATTCTATTTATATCATCATCGCGTTACGAAAAGTCAGTATAGTTTATTTTTCACTAATAAGGCTCAACATTTTTCTTCTCAAAATACATATCCAAAGCTAACTTTTTACGAGCTTTCTAACAGATATATTTTTATTTTCGAAAGATCACACTGTGTGAAATTTCTTCGTAACGCGATGACGTTTCTTCATAGTTTTTCAGCGATTTTTGAGGGGTGCCAAAATTTTGAAAAAAATCAATGTTTTTATTTTTCAATCTAATCCCATGGATTCAATGCAGATTTTCATTCTGACTCTAAATATGTAATTGGTTTGATGTTTTAAACCCATTTTTACAACGAAAATAAGGAATACCTTTTAGCTGCTAGATCCTTATAGGTTTTCTATATAATTTGTTACCCATAATTTTCAAATTGAAATCGTTAATAATATCAGATTTAATGCTAATTCTGGACGACTATGACAAAAACTACACTATAATAATTTTATGTAGTCAAATGCCTTTGGAATAGATGTAAAAAACTCTGATTCGAAAAACAGCATCATCCCATAACGAAACCATCATCGCGTTACATTAGTAAAAGGCGATTTTTNTTATAGGTTTTCTATATAATTTGTTACCGATAATTTTCAAATTGAAATCGTTAATAATATCAGATTTAATGCTAATTCTGGACGACTATGACAAAAACTACACTATAATAATTTTATGTAGTCAAATGCCTTTGGAATAGATGTAAAAAACTCTGATTCGAAAAACAGCATCATCCCATAACGAAACCATCATCGCGTTACATTAGTAAAAGGCGATTTTTTTGCAGCATATGTTGTTGTTTAATTAAATCAAGCACGTCATTGCTAACCTTATGGTGTCAGCTTAAGATTGTCTAATAAATGTTCCCTGTGACGTAGTGTAAATTCGCAGAAAAATACTGATCTTGTACATCACTATCGATATTTTGTCTTTTTTTCGTCATCGTGTTACGAGAGGTATTTCATCAGTTATTTCCAAGCAACTAGTCCAAGCGATTTGATTTTTGCAGATGACTATAGAGGGACCAGGGACATATATGACAGTGAAGAAGAAAACTTTTTGTGGTTATTAGTCTATGAGAAAAAATAAAAATACTCCGACCAAAACGTCATCGCGTTACGCGCGTTCATGCCGATATATATAGTGAATACTAATAGTTCTTTTTACCATCTATTACGTCCTAGAAATTCTCGGCTTATAACACCTTAGATGGAAAATTAATTATAAACACTATACTAATCGTCAACGAGCAGGTTTCCTTGACTTAACACACGTTAAACTTGTCACACCGGACTTTGTTAATTGTTTATGAACATAGTTCTTTTTACGAGTGTAACGACAAAGTGGTTGAGTAGCTAACCGCTTCTCACGGTATAGATGTTTATTGACTATTCTACATGACCAGAATGTGTCTATTTCACAATAAGACACGCGCTTATATAGAGAAGAGGAAAGAGAGAGAGATGATTCGGAGATAGTATGATATAGAGGTGAGAGAATAAAGAACAGAAAGAGATGAACGATATGATTATCGTTACAAGCAGATATATATATATATATATATATATCTTGACTGACCTGTACATCTTTGTAATATTATTACAGTTGAGGATGAGTGAGGATTAACCCTTGTATGCTGTTCTCATTTTCCCCCTTGAACGGCGCTCTGCGGGCCTCACTAGATCCACAAGTAAATATACATATAAAACCTGAGTTCCATTTTCTATTATACTAGATAAAAATTCGTTTTATTCTTAGCATATTTGCATATAAATATTTAAACGCTGAGAATATCGAAACTTTATTTTCGACGTTTAATTTTAGTTTTAAAGGGGATAAGACGCTAGTATATAATCAGTGTGTAGCTTAAAAGAATACAGTGCTTTTTGAATAAAATTTTAATAATTTCTTTTGAAGAAGTGTTACTTTATTGAACTGTTCGCTTCACACTGCTGATCATCTGCGGCGATATGTAACAGCATTTGTATAATTAGTGAATTAGGAATCATTCGTGCAACACAAACAACTGGCACAAGGTGCAGCAAACGCACCATTTTTTCTCAGTGTTCGAGGCTATCCATGAGGTTTCACAAGACTTCGATTGGCTGTTAAGTAACTAACGGTTAGCTAAAATATCACCTAAAAATACATAAGCATTCATATAATAAACATCGAAAAACAACTAGTAACGCTCGTCGAGGCAGACTCGCTATGCCTTCGGCTGAACCACTGACTGAAAATAAAATAGTCTTATGTGCGTTTTATGCAAAAAAAAAGACAGAAGTATAACCTTTGAAAGGGTCCCCAGAGACTAATCTTCATTCGCCTCAGTCTTCAAAAGAGTCAAAGGACTACTTGTGTTGGTTTTAATTATTCTATATTTCTGACTGACAATTACTCTTCACAGGAAGCAGAAGTTCGCTATAAATGACTATTATGGATATGCACCTTTAAACATGTCCTCCTTTTTCTAAAAGAAAGATAATTTCAGTAAGACCAAATGAGACTCTGTATATATTTCGCGTTCGAACGTGTCGGATTGTTGATACTTTGGTAACTGGCTAGATTACCAGGCGCCACTCACAACTCGCCGCCCCAAAACTGTCCCTATCTATCATATAATTACCCGTGTGCTACTAAAAAGTATCGAAAATTAATTAGCATTCCATCAACATCTCATAGATAAAATTATCCGCGTCCGAACATTTAAGACTATCTCCTTAATTAAAAGGCTTAAAGGCCTACAAAAACTTTCAATATATCGAAGGTCAGCATTTAAGATTGCTCTCCAGTATGTAACTTGTGAATGAATGTATTTTTGGATTACTGGTCTTTAGTATGCGACAGTCAACCGAGTGTGTTTTTACTTTTTCGTAATCAACTCTTCTATGTAGCCCTCCTCTCAGGTGCGCTTGAAATGTTTTCTTCATTTCTGTCACGTCCCTGCCCCTTCGCCCGTCATCCAGCCAATCTCGAGCCTCAGGATCCCTCCCAAATGATGTTTTATGAAGTTGTAAGCATTTTCGAAAAAAATGTTTTTTTGACCTTTGACCCCGACCCTCAGCTCCCCCTCCACCAAGATCTAACCTCAACACCCCTCCAAAACCATGTTTTATGAAGTTTTGAACCTTTTTCAAGAAAATATTCTTTTGACCTTTGACCTCTGACCCTGACACAAAGATACAGACCATTTTTTTTCGTATGACCCTCCTTTCAGTCGAGGGAACATTGTGGGTCCAGCTAGATTCCCAAAAAGCATACAAGTGTTAAAACTTGAAGCTATCAATGGATATGACTAAATTTAGGTACACATGTTACTTAGTAACATCGTCAATCTATTAATATTTTGTTGGACTTTGTTGGAATGAAAAGCACAATGCAATATTCCACTTTTTTGTCATTTATTCATTACAGTAATATATGATATATGGGCGTCGCCGCAATTGAAACTCCGTGAAAAGTGTTTTCTTCATATGGATCAGTGTCAGCATTGACTGTCCGATACCCCACTTTATACATCACTGTAACGATAATGGTATCACCCCCTGGGATGATATCAATATATGATCATCTCTCCTAATCATGCATATTCTCGTGTTCTTCTCTGTTTTCTTCTTTCTCTTCCTCTTTCTATATAAGCGTGTGTCTTATTGTGAAGTATATCCCAGGTTATTATGGCACGGTCGGTTCCGGCCGGTTAGGTTCGTTTTCCGACCATTTCCTTGCCGCCGGATTCCGGTCGGAAGTTCAAACATAGGTGTAAGTTGTTGTGTAAGAGGTGGTGTGAGTGAGTTCTGTTTATTACGGTAGTATGAACACAAGAACACACGCACAGATAAAACGTAAAGAGAGAAGAGAGAGAACGGTGATAGAGGGCGGAAGGTGAGTGCTAAGAACGACAAGAAACACGCGTATATATATGTGTGTACACTGGATAATCCCAACATATGTTAAGCATATGTGAAGGAAAACTCCAACACATGACGTAATGGAATAGTCCATCCAACA